CAGACGTCATTCTATCAAATAACAGTATCAATAAACCGCGAGGAAATTAAATAGAGTGAAGCCGCTTAGTTACGCGATCGGAATCATTGATAGCGACCGGCTCAAATAAATTTGACGATCGCATTAGGTATTCCCGCCTCAGTCTTCATCGGGCTTAATGAAATTGGGCCAGCTCGCTCCGCATCAACAATTGGCAACAACGCAACCGGCATGGCGCGACACTACTTTGGCCTTTCTCCAAAGATCGAACTTCCCTCTTTTCCTCGCCCTGCTCCTTTTCTCCCTCACGTGGGAAGGCTATTTCTGTCTGGGGTATAAAAACATTTCTAGAGAAATTTATTATTCTTTTTTTTTTGCTTTTCTTCTTTTTGCTTTGTTGGCATCCCATACTGTTTTTATAATGGGAAACTAATTTGTTATTTATACGCTGATGAGGATACTTGCCTTGTACACTTGGCCAATCATAAAACTGGTACGCATTTTCGTATTGTGTTGTATTGTGTGAATCGACCTTTTTTGTCACCTCAAAAATGACAAAAAGAGTCAAGTCAGTGTCATCTTTGACCCAAACATAACATAAAAACATATGTTGCATTACTTTTGTTCAGCTTTAACATTGACAAAAACTGCCTGACCTAAGTTTTTCAGAAGAGACTTTTTGTTGTTAAGCCTGACCCATACTAGGCAAATTTGAGAAATATAGGTATTTTGCCTATACCAGTTTTATGTTTAGCCAAGTGTACGTTGGGAAATTCTGTCCACATACGATGCATTGCAAAACAAATACTCATAAAACAAAGCTAACTAGAAAGTCTAAAGAGAGTATGACATACATTCCATTATGCATTACGACGTTCTAATTATATTTTTGTGCTTGAGGAAACTTGAGACTACTTCCTATTGTTATCTTTGGTAAATAATTTTTAATGCAATTTGCAATTTCAGTCATGGAACAGAGCTTCAATGAGCACTCGCGGTGTAGTTGTATCAGCCACAGCGAAGGAAGAGACTAAGCTCAAAATCACAAAGACTTATATGTAACAATAACATGCATACATTTATATAAAATATTTTGTCTACGACTGCTATGTCAATATTCTTTAAGTAATCCTTTATCTGTCTTCTGCATGTTGCGCTCTCCCAGTAGAATTGGGGCATAGTTATTGCCAGGGCATAGGAAAATAAATGCTATGTACTAGAATTTGAAGATTCTAAATTGGTACTATAATTCCATTAAAATTGAGCATTTTTCAATCTTTGAATTTTTCATTAATCAACGATTGAGCGCACTTATTACGCATATTCTTTCTGTGTTCTGGTGTTTTTTCATTTGTGCCAAGCCAAAGCTTTCCTGTTTTATTTGATTCTACTTGAAAAACGCCAAAATATGCGGAATGGGGATTAGAGTTAAGCAACTGGTAGATTTTCAGCAGATTTTCTTTCTCAACAAGTTTAGAGGCGGTTGAACTTAATTTCAACTTTTATCTTTTGAAAATCCTTAGTTGTTTATGTATTTGAAATTTATAATAGCTTTTCTTGTTTTAAAATTAATGTTCATTCTATTCAGATACCTGTTTTTATGCTAAGTTTATTGTTCCAGTATCTTAAGCTCAAAACTTCAAATAATACATGTTTTTCTCTAATGAAGTTTGTATTAAAGTTCGTAGCGTTTCCTCTTGCCATTCTTGATCTTTGGAGAGCCATATAAACTTTATGTAGATCGACTGATAGGATTTCTAAAGCAAAGTTCCTTGTCTTTCTGACTGGAAACTTACAACTCTGCCACACTATCCAAGAGAGCATGAGACACATTTCATGATTAATTTTATACGAGATATTGAATTGCTTATTCAGGGCAATAGTTACAGACTAGAAAAATTAATTGAAAATGAGGCAAATTATACTGACATCGAAGCTAAGTCTACTAATAAACTCCTTTCAATTAGGTATAAAAAAACTCTCCGACATTATCAGTTACCAAACTATTGGCTGTAACATAGCGATCGAACCTTTATTTTATCGATTACACATTAGCGCTTTATTGCTGGATTCGACAAAAACCGTGTTAACTCCAACCTACGTGATTATCCAAACAATGAGCCTTTCATTCACGGCTGTTCGGTTTATCGTGAATACAATATCGATTTATATGCAACTTGGTTTCGTTATTTTTTTCAAATTGAAGTATTTCATGGATAAAAGAGAGATTACTGATTTATGACATAAAATATAACAGAAATCGTCCAAGTATGGATTTCTTAAGTTTACTCCCAACACTGAAAACCCGATTAAAATCACAAATCCGCTGAATAAAAAAATTCGGTAAAGCACCACGTCTAAAAATAAAATAATCGATTTTGCAATAAAAAGGTAATGGATTCAGAAAAAAATCCCGATTAATCATACTTACTTACCTTACAGCCCCTTTAGTGAAATCAATCTTTAACTTACCTGGAAAAAAAAACATGAAATTAGTCAAGAACATTATTTATAATTTGAAATTGATTGATTACAAATTGGCATTTTGAATTTGGGTAACCCGGTTCAGTTTGGAAACGGATTATCTAGGGTCAGTCTGACTCTAATATACTCCTGGACAAAATTATCGCACCACTGCACATAACCATCACCATAAGCAGTGGTGCGATAATTTTGTCCAGGAGTATAGTTTGTACTCGAATAAAGCCCAGCCTGTCATTCCTGATAAAAGAAAATTATTTGCAGTTCGAATTGGAAAATCCAAAGTTTCCAAGCAATTTTTCCTTTATTTGGAAGACAGGAAGGAACAATATTTGGTATTTTTGACAGATTCGTTTATTGTAATTTGTAAATAACCTGGCCTTTGCTATAGTATAGAAACCGGAAAAATTAGCTTCCTACTGAATTTTGACAGTATAATTATTGCCAAATAGTTTTAATGGGTCACAATCAAAATATAGCAGATTTAAATATGCTTTAATACCACCAAAAATAATTTTCCATGTTGCTAATCCCTAGGGTTCAATTTGTTGGATAAACTGATATTCATATCAGTGGAACAAAAATTAATAAATTAAACTTTCATTATTAGTCTATACTTTGCTAATTTATATCGCAGCTATGGATGACTGAATGTGTTTATAATAGTTTTTATATGTAAGATAAACAGATGAGGAATCGTTTACTTAAGAAAGGGTTTGTAATTCTTTGTCTTGAGTCTACGAGTTCACACGCTCTGCTTTCCACTCTGTGATCGATATAATAAATATTTTGAATATCGATAATTAACAAGTTTTTTTATTTCTTAGTCCATTTCCCAACATAATTAAATTACAAAAATAATTCTTTGAGCTTGGGCAAAGAGATGCATTATAGTCGTAATCACGATAGAAAGTGAAGTTGACAGTTCGCGTTGACATATCTAGTATTTTTTTTCTTTAGGTTGCCAGCATGCGTAAGCGTTTTCATTCCTCCAGCTGGGATAAACGACAGGGTCGTATTTAGGAACATGATATGCATTCCAGATTTATTTTTAATTTCTTTAAAGGAAGTCAAGTTATTAAAATCCTGCATAGTAATATTAAACATCTGTAATAGAACAAACGTAATATTTTCTAATAGTTGTTGCTGTAGCTGGCCGCCCAAGTACTCTGTTGATTTTTAAAGGTTAGATGGTATATGCGAGCGGTTTATTGATGCTAGTTATTTCCTTGGGTAGCTACAGAATTAAATGCTGAAGGGGGTTTACTTGCAAAAGAGAGAAACAACTGCAGTATTTCCACACATATTATACATATTTAATTTTAAATAAATGAACCCAAATTTTTCCAATAATAATATACAGTACTTAAATTTCTACTCAAATTTTCCATTAATAAAATTATACAGTACTAAAATTTCTACCCAAAAACTCTTCTCATGTGGTTTACATCAGGCTTTTCCATGAGGGCTCTTCTTGGATCATCCTTTCTAAAGGTAAATCCTAATGTGAGCAAAACCCTGCCTAAACTTAACTGGGAACCGTAATAAATTTCACTTTCTTTCAGCCTATCACTTACAGTCCTAAGGGTAACATATGCAATTCTAAAAATGAAAAATGCTTGTTTAAATATTGTAGTACTGTAGCAACAGCAAATATTACTGATTTTAGTTAGTATATCTTGTTCAATTAGCTTTGAGACTTTCGTCAATAATGACACCGAGTGTATTCTTATGGAATTTGCTGGTGACACCATTATAACGTAACTCTTAAAGGTAATTGAACAAAGTAACTTAGTATTACTATTTAACACCAGTCCCTATAACAAAAAGACTACTACCCAAAAATAAACTAAAATTACCCAGTCTAGTTTGTGTTAGTGAAATGGCTTAAACTTATAATTGAAGAAGAGAGGAGTATGCATTCTGTGTAATAGTTTATTAAGAAAATCCGCCGAGTGCTTCCGGCCTTGAGTCATCACCAGTGCTGCTTCGTCGCAGGTACAAACATCACACACAAGAGACAACTGACACAAGTGGACGTGCATAATTAAATTTAACTATTAATTAATCAATTAACTGTGTAGTAATGGGTTTTTTACCAAAAACTGCTAAATAATATAAAAAAGGAAGAATAACAGTAAGACAGATGGGACATTGCCCCTCTAAATAATTTATACAAGCATAATATTAGATGATACATTAAATAGGAAGTTTAATTAGTGATACCATGTTTAGAGGTACCAAAGTCCACTAGAAAATATGACAACACAAAATGCTAAACATCTGAAAAACAATAAACCCAACACACAGGATAAAGCATGCAGCAGAAGTTACAGAAGCTCTGCAAATATCTGAACCCAAACTGTGTAGGTACGTCAAAGAGGGGAATATGAATACTTATCCTTATGAAAGACTCCAATAACTCAGGTACATTTATTGAAAAGCAAGAAAACAATTCTAAAAAATATCATGAAATTATGGAATGAAAGCAATCCTAGCAGCATTTTAATTTGTGTTGACCTGAAATAAAAAATAGTATACTATGAAAAACAGTTTAATTTGATCTGAGAAGTTCCAATGTTATCAGGTGTATTCTTTCGGAATAATCTACTGGTAATGTTAATATGAAGTAACATTGAAACAACTCTATGTTCAAAGTAGAACATCAACTTACTCTATACAAAATGTATACATTTGTATATCTCTAATCGAATAGTCTGTTTGACGCTTCCACTTGAATCAGTTGTCTGCAACTTCTTACGCTTCCGCGTGACAGGGGTAATTTCAGACTCAACTGAACCATCCTTATATTTATAGACAGTGGTCTCACGTAGTTTCAAAACCTTAGCTGTCTCCTAGAAAGGCAATGGAACAGTAAATTACAATTTATTTATTAAAAATTAACAAAAGCCACTCGGTTCGAAAATATCCCTTTCCAAAACTTGTACCTACATTTACTGAGATTAAGACGAAAACGTTTCTATGATCAATCAAGACTAACTTTATTATTATTAACTTACAGTTATGGGATTTTGATCTTCATGAGACACCTTGAAATGGTTGTATACGAGTTGTATAAATTGCTGAGCCACAGGGTTCCCATGAATTATTGGTCTCTACAAAAGGATTATTTGCTTATTTTTACTAAATTTGAAAACACTACCTTGTCACTTTCCCTCTTGCTTAGAAAAAAAAAAAGATTCGTCTCGTAAAGAAGAAGCATCTCCAAGGTTTATTGCTGTTCCCTGAAAATTATTGGCGATGAATTATGACAGTGGTAATTTAAAGTTGCCAATTTTACCGTATTTTCTTCACACCTAAATCATCTGAGATGCTGGAACAGAGCAAAGTCTCCAGGACCCTGGTACGATCGGACTTGTCCGGGGACTTTTCTGTCATCGCTAATAAGAAAACGGCACTTTTAAAATCGTAATATTGTGTAAGTATTAGGTTTAACTTACCTGAAGAAGATAAAATAAACCAGATAAGTTTTGATAGAGTCCAAAGTGAACACTTATAAAAAGACAAAACACTTAAATCCGAACTAAAACCAGGTTAGAAATGAAACGCAACACCGAAACACAAAGGCACAGAACACTACATAAAAAACCATAAAACCGATTGAGAATATAACAAAATATCAAAAAATAATGCAGAAAACGGCAATAAACTAAAACGATCTCGCGCAAAAATTCGAAATTCAAAATTCTAAGATCCGAATCTGATAATTTTATATGTCAAATCGAAATGTCATGTATCATTATTTGATGGTTGACAGAAAAAGGGACAGATCTAGGGATTTTATTTACTTTCAACTGGTGAAAATAACGGTCAAAATTTAAACTCTATCCTGAATACGACTATAGCAAGATGATGGGCTAAAAAGAAATAACATAAAATAAATGGCGTCCTTGAGAGCAGAACTGAGGACGTGACTCGAAATCCATCCCAACGACTGCCGCAATATCAGGACCTCGTGGAATTGATTCATCTCTCCGCTTTTTCTGTTTTGGAGGACGAATTGAGTAGGACGTGGATTTTTGTGTGGTAGTTTGAATTTAAAAAAAAAAGATCAAGATAACTTCAAAGTTCGACATATTGTTATGAATCATAGAAATCCCTACGTTGGGGACAGTGTGCACAATCTGGCAATGCCGCATGTTCCAAAAGGAATGACTGTCAAAAACCTACCTATACCTACAATCCTACCTATACACATAATGTCAAAAAAAAATATATACATAAATAGATTGTCAATGTCTTGTTTTTAGCGTGCGCGGTAGAGAAATAATATTCATTATGAACAACCCACCATGGTCCTTATTCTTGAAACAGGGGAGCAGCGTTCGCAGGAGAACGAGTTTCCCGTCTTTCTCAATGATATGCAACTGATAATATAAGTAACAAAGACGGAACACTCGTTCTCCTGGGAATGCTGCTTCCCTGTTTCAAGAATAAGGACTCATAAGTTTATTTCATATTATCCAATAGATGCGTTTTCGAGTTTATTTTTGCTGATGATTCTATTCGTTGAACGGGTAGTCCTTCGTGGATCTCACAATGACTCCCCAGATACGAAGTCTCAGTCCCCTAGGGCCTAAAATAGCAGGATAGCCTCTGAGCTAGTCTCTCGTACTTATTTATCAACCCCTGTAACCTCTCATCAGTACAAACTTCATCGATAATCAAATGGTGGGTTAAGGGGTTATATCTGTTATTTTAAGTCCTATGGGGCCCAGACTTTGTATTTGGGGAGGCCATGCAATGTTACCAAACCGAGCAAAATTCCCGAAACTTAGAGAAGACGCGAGCTTGGCAATGCCGCACTCCGTATGATTTATAAATTAGGAGAGAATCTAAAATGCACTTTAAAGATCGTGGATACCAGACGAAAACTTCAACACGATCAGAGAATTTCCAAATTATTTATTGGGAGAAGGCAATGCCATAAAAGCGGTCAGGACAAAAGTTCCCTGCTGAAACCTTCACCCCTTAGTCGCATATGCCTCGACCAAAAGTTTTTATTGTCCACGTAATAATTTTCCGCCAAGGTTTTATGCGAAGAAAGTATAGCGGACTGCCAACTTTTATATTACCTTTTCGCAGGACCTTCTTGCGATCCTGCCAATCGTCGCTTTTTCTTGTCTTTGGGACAGTGCCAGGTCATAGGTTTTCGTCTTTCAGACGACGGCGAAAAAAAAATTATTTAAGGGTTGAAACCACGATATGGCGAGAAGGGATGGAGTGTTCGCAAAAAAAGTAATTCACAGTAATCTGCAGGCAAAAAAGATTTTGTTTAATTAAAGTGATTCGATATTTTTTTTTTTGAAAATTGGCTCTCAGACACAACGTAAGTTCTCCCTTTGGAGAAACGTTTTGAGTTGATGTTGATATTTGTACGAAATTACATTGGAGCGGAAAAGTACAAAAGTCAACGTCCGCGACGGCCACGAGGATATTCAGAAATTCCTGATTTTATAGTTTAAGTCATTAGTGTAAAGACAATTAGTTCAGATGTAGATCCAAACCGCGAATGGAAGCAATGTAATTGGGGAACAAATTATTTAATTGAATTTTTGTTCTGCTGGCCTTGCTCCTTGCTCTTCCAGCTTTAGCGACACCCAAAAGTGACAATAGGAAGTAAAAATTTCAGGATTTAAGCCTGAAATAAAGCCAAAAGAAGTCCAGGAATACATGGAGACAAACTTAAGAATCGATTGTTACTGTAAGAAGCTACAATCCAAAACAGTTTGCGATACAAAGTTAATTTTTGTTCAGATTTGTATCCCCTTTTTAATCTCCAACGCTTGTTGAAATCGTAAAAACTTTTCTGTTTGGCTGTTAAGCTGCACCAAAAAACTACCCCCACAGGCGTTTTCCATCAAACGTCCAATTAACGTTAATGTGCGCTTCAAATATGCTTTTAAAAAATCACGTTTATTCGCGTTTGTCGGTTGGCATTTTTTGCGGGCTCGTTTATACACCCTCATTATGCCCTGAACTTCCTGTTTCCGGTTCGACAGAATATTTTTTAAAGGGTTTTTTTTTTAGTCTCCCCGTGAATAAGACTTTGTTTTTCTAGTTCAAAAAAAAAATAGGTATTTCCAGTCAGAGATCAACATTAATAATTTACTAGGACAGTATGTACATTTATACTTTGGCAAGAGGGTTTTAATCCTTTTCCTAAAAATAATTAATATGTATTCTGAGCTAATAGACAAAGAGCATTATTATTGACGTATTGATCCTTCATTCACATACGGTAATATTCAGTTCACTTGTCCCAACTGAAAGTTTTCCCCAGACTGTGTGGCGAAGATAGAAGCGAAACGGGAAAAACATTTTTCAGGAAGTTTCCAAAGTTGCATTTCCAAATGTTTGCCAGGTGTACAATTGTGTGCCTATAAATTGAAAATTTGTGTTTCTATTCTTAGAAAAGTTGTCGAAAGAATAAAAATTTTCAATTGGGGTTCTGAACTTGGCCCGAAACCGAAGTAAATTATCAATTATCAATATCAAATCCATCGAGAGCCTGGCTAGATTTTAAGAAACCAGTTATTTACAGAAGAGGATAAACTAGGAATGAAAACTCTAGAAATGTACGAGACAAAACAGAATAAAATAATAGAAATGTATCCCAGACCGTATAAAAAAAATCAACAAAGAGAATCGATAATGGATGGAGAAAATGCTACTTTGCCCATTATGTCAACATAGTCCAATGTATTAAATGCTGCGAGTGTATGAGTTGTGGCCAAAAGAATCCAGAGAGAAAAACAAATATGTCCAGACTGACCAGACTACGCAGAACTTCATAAAGTAAATTAGCTTTTGTATACAACATATAGTCAAACAAAGATGGTACTGAAGAATCGCACGGATACTTTTTTAATTTGAACAATTTTTTTAGATGAAGGTATGCGGATTAAATTTTTAATTTTACTTCTGAATCAAGTAAGTCAGTCGTTATCGTGTGAAACGTTATGGCTAAATTTTTAACCACAACAATAATAGGTATTGCAGACGATTTTCGGCATAGCAAAACAAAGAAAGCTGGTTGTGAATATGCTTTTCCATTTATTTTAGAGGCAGCTGGCTGGTATGCTAATTCGGCGGAGAGGCTTCATTTCCTAAAGGCTCGGCAATTTTATAATTGTTTTAATAATAATTATTGTATTTTTCTATATGGATGGGTATCGATTTTCAAAAATAAGCACGTATTAATACTATCTGATAAGGGATTTGTACTGAAAGGTAAACATAGTTTTATATTCTTTATGGAATTACTATCTTTCCCTAACGCATTTGATGCTGAAATGACTTGCTCAAAAGTTAAAATTCTAGCTTTTGATCAACTGCTTCACTACTAATTATGATATTGAAACATAAATGATTAGGTCATTGAAGACGAGCCTGGTATGTATTTTGAAAAAAGTCATGGATTGTTGGCACGTTACCTACCTAAAATGGTCCTGTAGTTCCATGGAATTTTTGTTACTTGTAGTATTTAATTTATTCCCAAAATATAGCGTGTTTGGTGTAATTTCGTAACTGATTATGATACTGATGGTGACCTTCAGTATTCGAGATTAAGTATTTTTTGCAGGTTTTATCTTTTAATATAATTAGCAAGCCTAGAAACAATATGATTCCAAATAAACTGGATTATTCAAGTTCGCCCAGAGTCGATATTTTAATTTAGCAGGTAGAGAAAATTAATACCCTGAACTTAAATGGTTTAGACGTAAGACATTTTTTTTTTCTCAGAAAAAAGAAAAAGCTTTAACTCAGAAAAAAGAAAAAATTTAAAAAAAAAAACTTAATTTTTTGGTTAGTAAAAGTTGCCGATATTTCCATTAAAAATGGAACAAATCAAAATAGTATAGGTACACTAGTAGAAACAGCATTGAATTCTCTATAAATTTTTGCTAAATTGAGTTTGATTTTTTGCAAATTTCGAAACGGTATTTTAGTGAGCAACTTTGTCTCAATATAACCGACTCTGGTATCCCCGAGAGTATCCCTTATGATTATACCTCCTACAAGAACCTTGGGCATACAAGGGTCGCGTAAGAGGATTAGGCAGGAGGGAAAGATCTCTCTTCTATAAAAGGGACATCCAACTGAACCGAAGGACTTGCGTTTATGTCGACAGACGGATCGAGTCCACTCTAAAGCTCAATTTATAAACTCGCCGTCGGGATTCCGTTTTCGTCTGCGTTTGCGTCCGCCTTGCTGGTTACCGT